AACTACAATAATTAAAATAAGGAAAAGTAAAATTATTCCGAGCATAAAATAAAATTAAACGTAATCATCATAGCGTCGGGGTCGCCTCGCATTCCTACGCGACCGACTAGGCGCCAATGAGTCCGGTGGGTCTTTTGTTGGGCTTCCCTGTTCATGATCCGTTGGGCTCTCGTGTTCTTCCTCTACACAACCCGTATCATTGACCCTTGTGTTTTGATAATGACAACCTTATATGTGGGATGAGCTTTGGATCTTTGAATCAAGTCACCTGGATAATTTCGCAGGGATTATCTTGCAAGTTGGCTTACGAGCTCCAAGACTAGAATTGGTGTTAAAAAGGTTTCTAGATCTTTTACATTTTTTTAAGTCTTAGTTCTTGTTAAAGTGTGTGGCACATGTTTATTCTTCAAAATTCTCTATTTCTCTTAAAAGAATTCTTTCTTTATTGTTATTTAAAATGTTTTTCGAAGTATTCTTTCAAAACTATGTTTTCCCAAGCTTTTATTCGAATAAATGATGATTTATTCGAATAAGAGGGACTTCTGCAGATTGCAGCTCGGTCTGTTTTAATCGAACAAATGCTTGTTTTATTCGAATAAGTGCTGATTCCAGTTTTTCCAAACTTCTAAAAACTATTCGAATAAATGGTTATTTATTCGAATAAGTAGCTTCCCAGGATTTCAGTTCACCCGGGTTTTATTCGAATAAATCTAAGATTTATTCGAATAGGAACTGCGTTTTTAAATTCCTGTTTTATCATAACTATTCGAATAAATGGTGTTTTAGTCGAATAAATCGACAGTTTTCACAACTAACGGTCAGTTTTTAAATTCACGTGGAGGTTTCTTCTGTCCTATCCATATATACTCTATCTAGTTCCGGTTTTCAAAATATAAGAACATCCAAGAACATTTACAATTGCTATCCTTTGAGAATTTCAAAGAGTTTTATTGAATCAAATCCTCCTACTCAATTCATTCAAGCATTTTCTTCAGCAATCCTTCAAATTGAAGTTTGGAGAGTCATTTGTGCCATACGCTATAGGTTTGGTTGTAATCTACAGTATATCCGCTCTTGTTCGAAGAGTCAATTCCGCTGTGCACTTTGGTTTGTAAGTTTTTAAATTGTAAAAACTTGAATTTGAAATAATTCAAGTTTTGGATTGAAATCCAAAGTCTTGTGAAATCAAGACTTCGGTGGAAAGGTTAGAGGCTTGTGAAATCAAGTTCTCGAGTTGTATTCGGATTGTTAAACTCCGTTAAGTTTAACAAGGATTAGTGGAATCTCNATATCCGCTCTTGTTCGAAGAGTCAATTCCGCTGTGCACTTTGGTTTGTAAGTTTTTAAATTGTAAAAACTTGAATTTGAAATAATTCAAGTTTTGGATTGAAATCCAAAGTCTTGTGAAATCAAGACTTCGGTGGAAAGGTTAGAGGCTTGTGAAATCAAGTTCTCGAGTTGTATTCGGATTGTTAAACTCCGTTAAGTTTAACAAGGATTAGTGGAATCTCAGGCACGTTTGCCTTGGGGACTGGACATAGGCATTAGGCCGAACCAGGATATATCGTTGTCTCCTCGCTTTCATTGTTTCCGTTAATCTTTTATTTTATTCCTGCGCTTATTCTTCTTTAAACAAAAAAATTTATTATTTTCATGAACACCTCTATTCACCCCCCCTCTAGAGGTGTGAAAGGCGTCAAACAATTGGTATCAGAGCATGTTGTTTTCCATAATTTTACCGCAGGAAACACGATCATGGCCGGAAGAGCATTTCAAGCAGGAATATCCGAGGGACAATCAACTACTCGTCCTACACTTTTTGATGGAACAAACTATGCTTATTGGAAAGAAAGAATGAGGATATTTGTTCAATCAAACGACTACGACTCTTGGATGGTGATCAAATACGGAGACACTACTCCATACAAAGTTGTTGATGGAATTCGAGTACCCAAATTGGAATCTGAATTTGATGATGGAGACAAGAAGAATGTGATGCAAAATTCCAAAGCCATAAACTATCTTTATTGTGCGGTCAATCCTGATGATTATAGAAAAATTTCACGATGCAAAACCGCTAGTAAAATGTGGACCAAGCTTGAGGTAACTTATGAAGGCACTTCGCAAGTGAAGGATGCTAAAGTTGATTTGCTACTTCATGAATATGAGTTATTCTCAATGAAAGCTAATGAAAGCATTTATAGTTATTTTGAGAGATTCTCAAATATTATCAATAATCTTGACACTCTCGGAAAGCACTACACTGATCATGATTTGGTTCGGAAAATCCTACGATGCATGACTCCTGAATGGAAATCCGAAGTAAGAGCTATTAGTGAAGGAAGAGACTACAACACCTTGACATATGATACACTAAGGGGAAAGCTACTCACATATGAGACATCTACTCTTTATCCTCCGGTTGATAGCAAGTAAAGGAAATCTATTGCACTAAAATCTACTAAGGAGATTGAGGAAGCGAGCCATGATGAAGACTCAAGTGATACGGAAGAGAATCCCGAACTTGCACTTGTTATTAAACGCTTCAACAAGTTTGTCAAGAAGAATTTCAAGCCAAGAAAGGACAACTCCAAGAAGTCCACACCACCCAAATGCTATGAATGCGGTGAAGTGGGACATATCAAGCCGTATTGTCCTAAGTTGAAACAAGAGAAGGACAAGAAGTTCAAGAAGAAGCAAAAGGCCTATATTTCATGGGACAATAGCGGTTCATCTTCCGAAGCTAGCAATGATGAAGAAGAAACGGCAAACTTATGTCTTATGGCACTTGAGGATGAGGTATCATCTAGTTCTTATACTACTCCTTTATCTAATTCTAATGATTGTTTTTCCTAAGATGAATTACATAGTGCATTTAGTGATCTCTATGGTGAATTTATTAAATCCACCAAAGAAGCTAAAATTGCCAAGGATAGTGTCACATCTCTTGAAGCCAAAATAATTGAATTAAATAAAGAGATGGAAGTGTTAAAACTTGAAAATAGAAAACTTGGCAAAATTAGCATTGATTCACCTTGTGTACAATGTAAAAGTCATGAAAAGGAAATAGCTAGCTTGCATGAGCATCTAGAAAAATATAATAAGGCTAGTAAAGACATGCATTTTATAGTTCAACAAGGTCAATTTAATAAAAATGGCTTAGGTTATCAATCTAAAGGACCAAAGAAAGTTAACTTTGTAAAAGAAGGAGAAAGACCTTTGGATAGAACTAAGGATAAGAATAATTCATACCAAAAATATAATAGTAATTCTAAGATGACTCAATCTAGAATAGTCAATACCCCCACTAATTATAGGATGAGAAAATCTAGTCAATATAGGAATTATGATGATTATAAGTTTTCTAGACAACCTAGAGATTATAGGAACTCTAGGAATGCACCTAGAAAATCTAATAATCCTAGGACACATAGACATTCACCTAGTCCATATAGATATATGTATGATCCTAGGATTGTGTGTCATTTTTGTGATATTGTTGGGCACATTGCACCTGTATGTTTTAGAAAACTTAGAATGATAGCTAAAAATAGAAAAAGGGCACAGATTGATGTTTATAATGCTAGAACTAACTCTCAAGGACCCAAGATGGTTTGGGTACCTAAAACCCCCAATTAAATTAATATTTCAGGTGTGCTTGAAGGCATCAAGCGTACTTTGGTACCTTGATAGCGGATGCTCCAAGCACATGACCGGAGATGCATCCAAATTTATTTTTCTTAAATCTCTCGATGGTGGGAATGTTATTTTTGGTGACAACAACAAAGGAAAGATTATCGGAACCTGAACTGTTGGCAAAGACAAAGAATCCGGAATTGATAACGTGTTGTTGGTCAAAGGTCTCAAGCATAATTTGCTTAGTATTAGTTAGTTATGTGACAAAGGTAATCGTGTCACTTTTACATCTAGTCATTGTCTGGTTGAATGCCTTTGTGATAAGAAAATTATCCTTACCGGCGATCGAATTAATAATATTTATATGATCAACCTAGATAGTACTTCTTCTGACTTTGCTCATTGTCTTATGACTAGAGAGGAAGAAATGTGGCTATGGCATAAAAGGATTGGTCATACCAATATGGAACTGATTAATAAATTAGTTTCAAAAGACCTAGTAATTGGTGTTCCTAAACTCAAATTCGAAAAGGGAATTTGTGATTCATGTCAAAAGGGTAAACAAGTAAAAACTTCTTTCAAATCAAAGAAAGTTGTTTCTACTTCTAGACCATTACAGCTTTTGCACATTGATCTCTTTGGACCTTCTCGAACTATGAGTTTAGGTGGTAATTAGTATGCCTTGGTTATTGTTGATGACTACTCTCGTTATACATGGATCTTATTTCTTTCTCACAAGAGTAATGCACCTTCACTTTTTCGCAAATTCACTAAGAAGGTTCAAAATGAAAAAGGTTGTAGCATTGTGGCCGTAAGAAGTGATCATGGGGGAGAATTTGATCAAAGCGGGTTTGATACCTACTGTGATGAACTAGGCATTACACATAATTTCTCAGCCCCAAAAACGCCTCAACAGAATGGCGTTGTTGAGCGGAAAAACCGATCTCTCAAAGAGATGGCTAGAACCATGCTTAGTGAGGCTAACATACCCAAGTATTTTTGGGAGGATGCGGTAAGTACTAGTGCTTATATTCTCAATCGTGCGATTATAAGACCTACACTTAACGCTACTCCGTACGAATTGTATAAAGGTAGAAAGCCTAATCTCTCGCATCTTCACGTTTTCGGTTGTAAATGTTTTGTTTTAAATAATGGCAAAGACAACTTAGGACCTTTTGATGCCAAGTCAGATGAAGCAATTTTTATAGGATACTCTTTGACTAGTAAGGCTTTTAGAGTTTTCAACAAACGTACTTTAGTTGTTGAAGAATCTGTGCATGTTGTATTTGATGAGAATAATGCTCGCTTGTCGAGAAGGATATCTTGTGATGATCTTGCAGGCTCCCTTGAGAAAATACATCTTGAAGAAGGTGAGTCTAGTAAAGCAAAATCTGAAAAACAAGAAGAGGAAGTAAGGGAAAGTGAGAACAATAAAGATGAGCATGTAGCAAATGAGTTACCACCCGAATGGAGAACTTCAAGACATCATCCACTCGACAATGTTATGAGTGAAATCTCAAAAGGGGTAACTACTCGTAGTTCATTACGTAATTTAGTTAACATATGGCTTTTGTTTCTCAAATAGAACCATCTACCATTGATGATGCCATTAATGATGAGTACTGGACTATGGCCATGCATGAAGAGTTGGATCAATTCAAACGTAATGACGTTTGGGAGCTTGTGCCAAGACCACGTAACCATTCTATTATTGGTACTAAATGGGTTTTCAGAAACAAACTCGACGAAAATGGTATAATCACTAGAAACAAAGCTAGGCTTGTGGCTAAAGGCTACAATCAACAAGAAGGTATAGACTTTGATGAGACCTATGCACCCGTAGCGAGATTAGAAGCCATTAGATTACTACTTGCGTATGCCGCTACTATGAATTTTAAATTGTATCAAATGGATGTCAAAAGTGCTTTCTTGAATGGTTTCATTCAAGAAGAAGTGTATGTCGAACAACCTCCGGGATTTGAGGACTTTGAGTACCCAAATCACGTGTTCAAACTGAAAAAGGCTCTATACGGACTTAAACAAGCCCCAAGAGCTTGGTATGAACGTTTGAGTTCGCATCTCTTGGAGAATGGATTTCAAAGAGGAAAGGTAGACACCACACTTTTTATTAAGCATAATGCTCTTGACATGCTTTTAGTACAAATCTATGTTGATGACATTATTTTTGGTGCTACTAATGATCTTATGTGTGAGGAATTTACTAAGATTATGCAAGGAGAGTTCGAA